GTGTGTGTGTGTGTGTGTGTGTGTGTGTATGTATGTATGTAGGTGGAGTAGGTGAGTATCCAATAAAACTAAAGTGTGCTGATGAAGATGAATGAAAGGTTAGGGAGGAAACACGAGGCCCAATAAGCATCAACAGAGAGATTGTGTTTAGACTGGCTGCTGTTTCACAGGTTTCATAATGCAGATTGTCTGATTTAATGAAATAAGAGCTCCATTTGACAAAAAAACTCCCTGGCTCAGTGAGAGAGCCGTGTTCTAGCACTGCATTAGATCTCCAGATCCTGAAGTGTATGTGGAGATTTGTTGTCTCTGTTTAATGCTCACTCTGTCTCCACAGCTGAGTCCAGAAGACTACAGGGAACAAGCCTACACATGTATGCCAGAGGAAGTGGATACTGATGTAAGATTAGATGTGTCTTGCATGACACACTGCTCCATTCAGATATATAAAAAATGTTCACAATGTTTTTATTTTTATGGTTTTGTTTTCAGACTAAGCTTAGCAGGTTGTGTGAGCAGGATAAAGTGGTGAGGACGCATGAGGAGAAACTTCAGCAGCTGTACAGAGAGAAGGTGAAAAATCTGCTCGTTCAATTACATTTTCACACAAAACATTGTTTAAATTGTGATACTTAATGTGTTGTGCCCCCCCCCACCCCCACCCCCAGCACACACTGGAGACTGCCCTTCTGTCGGCCAGCCAGGAGATCGAGCTGGGCTCCGACGACCCGGCTGTCGTTCAGCAGAGAGACTTGCTGCAGAGCGGCCTCCTCAGCACCTGCAGAGAGCTGTCCAGAGTCACCGCTGTGAGTCACACAGCACACCCGTTCACTCTGCACACACTCAGGCTGGACACTCATACTTTCATTCCAAGGCGAGAGTTTTACTTTTGTATTTCCTTCCCACCCAAACCAGGAGTTGGAGCGGTCATGTAGGGAATATGACAAGTTGGAAGGAGATGTGACTTTAGCCAAGAGTAACTTACTGGAGCAGTTAGAAGCACTGGGAAGCCCGCAGGTAAGATCATTTTAGAGTGTTTAAAGCATGGGTGCCCAAATATTTTCCCCAAGAGGGCCAAAATGAAAATCTAGCTGGGGATGCAGGCCAAATGCAGTAATATAATACATGAAATATAAATACTTTTAAGTAAAGTCCTTTATTTTTAACAATTAAGCCAGTGTGGTGGCACACTTTTGTTTTAGTCTGCACTTGGAGAAAGTCTGCCATACACTCAAGTAGGAAAGACTCGTGGGAAATTTTATAAATTAATAAAATAAGATTTTGTGTGGCCTTACAAAGTGTGCAAATCTGCATGTGTGGTTAGATATAATCTAAATATAGCTTTTTGTTACTTGTATGTCATGTTTCATGTTTAATCTTAATAAATCAAAGATAGAGTCAGCACCATGAGTGAAAACTATCTGCACTACAGCCCCACACTGGGCCAGTGGATGAAATGACTCAGTGGAAATACTGTGTTTCAGCATAGGACGCAGGGGGGCTACTTGTTTTATAAAAACATAAACTTACGTGACTCACCTGCAATTACGGTAATACATTAACACATACATGAATA